ATCTGTGATTGTGCAATGGGTTAAAGATACTTATCTTGTGGGCGGATGTTTTCGTATACCCGGCAAGTGAACTTTGCTTGCTGAAGCCAGTCCGAATACCAGACTTAATATCCATTCTGCTATCAGGAGTCTTGGGATTCTCAATATAATTATTCCAGGAATCCAGCGGGCCACGCACCTGACGCCACCAGGTGGCGAATGTTTTAGGTGAGATTGCTACCTGTTTTCTAAAAGAAATTTCCCCAGTTTGGTGATGCAGTTTAGAAACAAACTCATTTGGATGATGTCGTTCCTGTATATCTCTTCAACGCCCGGATGTTAGGATGGAAGTATATGACTCTCTTTCCTGCCGGCCGATAACGCCCACAGAGTCTTAGATGCTCACTTGCTATTGCGATTTTCTTTGTTACATTAATATGTGTGTGTGTGTATGTGGATCGAGGCCAAGAGCCAGAGAGTCTTCCAAGGACACGTCATCAATTTTTTCCTTAGGTATTAACGAGAGGTGCGATCGGCCTAACAGTTAATAGTACAGAAAATGAAATTGGCGGCTCAAGTTCAAATTTGTCAGGAATTCATCTCTTCTTCGTATTCCACAGTTATGGGTAAAATAACAGTGCTGGCTGACCTCTATAGCCTTGGTTGGTAGTCAGTCTAGGGAAAGGATAACTCTGAATTTAAAGTTGAAGGGCTATGAAGTTCCCTAAATTTAAAAATAGACTTGCTATTGAAACTGCAGCAATATCGGTATGGTTGTGGGTCTTTTCAGCATAAGTTTACAGAAATAAGTAATTAACTTTTGTACTGGGATTTCATTGATTCTCTCACGCACACACACACGCATATATATATATATATATATATATATATATATATATATATATATATATATATAAACATAAAGTCAACGCTCAGAGGCAACAGGCTGTTTTCATGCTAGACGCAATCGTCACGCGGACTGAGGATTACGTCTAGCATGAAACAACTTGTCGCCTCTGAGTGTTGACTTCTATGTTCACTTATATTTATATTTACATACGGTCAATTCTGATAATGCGCACTTTATCCCATAAATATAGCACACCTTAAAACTATATTTCTTCACATACGCACACACACACACACACACACACACACACACATATATATATATATATATATATACAGTGGGGGAAAATAAATATTCGTTCACATGAAAAATTGTATTTTTATAAAGGTAAAAGCCTTAACTAAAACAAATTTTGATACATTTTATGTGTAAAGATACATTTTATTAAAAAATAGTAATAAACTTAATTAATTCTTATTCTAACAGAAATTAATGCATTTTTTTTCATTTTTACTGATGAAAAAAGTATTCGTACAAAACAAAAAAGCATATTAACTTAATTTAATACTTTGTGGAATATCCTTTATTGAGTTCAACAGCTACTAGTCTATACCTGTACGTCTCAACTAATGATTTGCACACATTGAGTGGTATTTTGTCCCATTCTTCTTGGCATATTGTCTTCAAATTCTTGATTTGTTGGTGGTCTTTTCCCAATTTGAATTTTCAAATATCGCCATAAATTCTCGATTGGGTTCAAGTCTGGGACTGACTTGGCCATTGCAAGACATCAACGTTACTTTCAGCTCACCATTTCCTTGTAGATCTAGCGGTATGCTTAGGATCATTATCCAGTTGGAAAATCCAATCAGGAGGTAGCCGAAGTCTCTCAACAGAACGCATCAAATTGTCTTGCAGGATTTTCTGGTATCATTCATCTTGCCATCTATTATTGATATTCTGCCAACACCTTTTTCAGAAAAACAGCTCCAGATCATGATACTGCCACCACCAAACTTTACAGTTGGCAACGTGTTCTTTGGTAAGTAGTCTTCACCGTCCTTCCTCCACACATGATTTCGATAATTATGACCAAACAACTCTATTTTAGTTTAATCTGTCCATAGTATTTTCCCAAAACGAATATTCTTTATCCTTATGCTCTCTAACGAATTAGTATCTCTGTGTCGTTTCAAGAGGAGTGGAGTCTTCCTTGAGATGTGTGATTTCAGACTGTTTTTGTGTAGTTCATTACTTATTGTACGCTTGGTTACTTTAATCCCTAATGCACGCAGATGTTCCTGCAGCTCTTCTCGGGTAACCTGTGGATTTTGTTGGATCTGGCGTCCTAATATCCTTGCTGATCTTAGAGAAATCTTCCTCGGAGCACCTGTTTGTCTTTGGTTTTCGACGCTGTTACGAGTTTTAAACCTTGCAATGAACGAAGCAAATGTAGTAAAAGGAATATTCAGGTCGTTAGAAATCGTTCTGTAACTGTCCCCATGTTTCCAAAGAGAGAAAATGTGTTGTTTTTGTGAAATAGTCAATTCTTTACCTTTAGGCATTATTGAAACCTTCTCGTAAGGCTAGAAATTGCAGAATGCTCTGATAATGGCTAATAGCGTTAACTATAATTACTGATAACATTACTGAAACATTCTAGAATATACTTTTTTCATAATTAATTGATTATTTTATTCTAATAATTGATTTGTACGAATACTTTTTTCACCATTGTATTAATTTCTGTTAGAATAAGAATTAATTAAGTTTATTATTATTTTTTTAATAGTATGTGTCTTTATACATAAAATGTGCCGAAATTTGTTTTATTTAAGGTTTTTACATTTATAAAAATACAATTCTTCAAGTGTACAAATATTTATTTCCCCTACTATATATATATATATATATATATATATATATATATATATATATTGAACAATAAAAAAATATTAAAAATTAAAATCTTCAGACACACTGGGTCGTAGATTAATATTATTTCGTTTTTTTTTTTTTAATTATTTAGATTTATATATATATATATATATATATATATATATATATATATATATATATATATATATATATATATATATATATAGTGTGCGTGTTTGCATGTTAAGTCTATATAATCATCGTAGAGATATGGCACATAACAACACTTTAAACGCACTGCTAGTTTACGGTAATACGTCTGACGACAATGTCATAATAAATGCATTGGGATCGCGCTAATCTGACAAATCTCGATAATACACTTAAGACCAGGACCATACATAATATCAAGACCAGGACCATACATAATATCAATGCTACTGCAGAAAGAAATAATAGCACAATACGGTGTGCGAGGTAGTAGAGGAAAAAAGCAAATATCTACTCGAAGTGATTTAAAATCCAACAGGCATCAACTTCTCTGTTATACATATATATATATATATATATATGCTTGTATGTGTGTGTGTGTGTGTGTGTACATCCTCATGTTTAGCCAACTTTTTTTCATGGTAAGTGTAAATTTAGGCCGTCCTTGGCTACGCTTCAAGGAGAAGCAAATACAATTTAATTGCTGCAAACATCCCTAAAGAGGAGTTCGAACTTGCTGTCGAAAACCGCGCAAACTGGAGACCTGCTGCCAAGGTATAAGTAACTTTGAAAAGAATCGTCTCAACCATCTGAGAGAATTAAGAATTAACGCTAAATCTCGGGTTAATACATCAGATCATACGACGGTCAACCCTTCAGTATGTCCTTCGTGTGGATTTGTTTGCAATTCCCGTGCAAGATTGTTGTCTCATACGAAACATAAACATAAAAACTGAACTGAAAGACATCATTAATATATATATATATATATATTTTTATGTTTAACGTTCTTCTTTATAGATACAAGTATTTAAGTAAATGCTCTGTTTATAATAAACAGTATTAAATAACATTTACCGGCCTGAATGTCCGAGAAATTTTCATAGAAAATATTCGTCCTTTGACAGGATTCGAACCTGCATCCTATACGGAACCGTCATTTACGTTGACGTGCCTAGCCTCTCGGCCACAAAGGAGCGTTCGGTAGGCAAGGTCGAATTTACTGCTTATTTACTCCTACGAACCGGCAGCCAGACACCAACACATATGATTTGATTATAGTGGTGTTGCAGAACCAACAGCTTTTTGAAGGGCCGAATACAGAGACCTCCTGCACTACGTGCCACAAGGACCCCAAACAACCCATTGCAGGTTTTGAATTCAGAGTTGTCCTTCTCCCAGACCACTTGCCATCCAAGGCTATAGAGCCCAGCCTGTCCTGCTAATTACCCATGGCTGGAGGGAGAAGAGGAGGATTCATACCTTTCCAAAAAGGTATTAGCATGTAAGTGAATGGATTCAACTGAAACACGAACTCGGCTCTTATATATATATATATATATATATATATATATATATATATATATATATATATATAAAACAAGTGCTTTTTGGTTTATGCCGTCGAATCTGATAAGGTGATAAATTTTAAGTAATGTTTGTATATATATATATATATATATATATATATATATACATACATTGTGTGTATATATATATATATATATATATGTATGTATATATATATATATATATATATATATATATATATATATACATTGAATATATATATTTATTCAAGAATTTATTACCTGAAGACGGTCGCGAGACCAGAAACACGTGTCGTAAAATTATGTAAAACAAAGCATAATATTTTTTTTCTAAATAAATCCACATTACAACCAAAAACGTTTGCGTCACCTCTCTTCTCTTCTTTTTAATATACACACTTTTCTCTCGTTGGAACCACTACAACATATATATATCGAATATAAGTTTATATCTTACCTCTTACTTGGTCTGGTCTGCCACGAATCTTGCTTGTAGAGATGGGGTTCTTGCTTGAGTTCAGCTTCGTAAAATTCTGGTTCTTAGGAAGCTGTGTCTTTCTCAGTCAGCCCGCTTCGTAAATGATCAGAAAACTCTATTCGGAAGCTATAAGCTTTACGTCTTCCCTCTCCGTAAATAGTTAGAGGACTCTTTTCGGAAGCTATGATCTTTACGTCTACCCGCTTCGTAAATGGTTGAAGAACATCCTTTGTTCGGAAGCTATAGTCACCGTCTAAGTCTGCCCGCTAGGTAAATGTTAGTGAACGTCCTTTCTGTTATGGAAGCGACATCTCATCTCTTTCGCGAACTCTCTCCGGTCCTTACACCCGCCCCGTGTGCCTGTGTCGAATCACTAAGGGGCGATAACCTATATTTTCTATACTGTCACCAAAGCAGAAACCTCATTTCTCAACAGGATGATCAAAAAATATCATTCCAAGCGGTATCGTGAAGAAACTCACAAAACGAGTCCCAATCAGCACGTTGATAGCAGAAAGATAGTCTATTAAATGAGAGAGCAGAAAGAGATATCTGCCGATACTTCGACGTTGTCTGAATTGTCAAGAGAAGAGAGCTTACCTTGCTAAGAGTTACAAAGCATAGGAAGTTGTGGAGAGACATAATCACCCATGCCCTGAAGAAGTAGTTGGATCAACATATCTCGCTACCAACTACGCTAATTAGTATTTCTTCGTACAGACAGCATCAGCGGTAACCGTGAGCTGTCTGTACGGAGAGACCTTTGAAAAGAAAAGAAGTTGATACGAAGTAATTCTAATTTTGACGACGAAGCACTTTCTTTTGTCACGGATACTTGACTCGACATCTGACATGTGGATTAAATCATTGATTGAATGCCCCGCTTTGGAGTTCATTTAGTTCTTTCTTCAGCGTAATTAACGTTGATTCGTGCCGGACAGGGAAGAAACCTGACAGTTGAACCGAGATCAGTTAACATTGCTCAACGGATAAGGTAAGATCAATTACGTTAAACGAACTACCACTGCGTGATTTGATTTTTATTTTCTTTCCTTGTAAACGTCGTAGCCAGGATATTAAATACAAGATGCGTTCAGGACGATTTGCTTAGAAGCGCAGATAAGATACAAAGTCAATGATAAGTCAGAATCCCATGCGAAGATAAAGCAAAATGTATTGGTTTCAGGAAATTGTTTACCGATATTTGCTTCGGTTCGCTTCAAGCTAATTCACGATGCCCTCATGTCTGTGGCATTTTTAAAACAACAAATATTATTGGCCACAATATATTTATTTATTCACTATTTTCATTTATTTTTTTTATTTGGGAATCATTACGTCAACTTGTATGGACTTCAGTTTACTACTGAATAAATATAGACCTGATAACTATCTCAGACTATTCAAATCTATCTATTTCCGTCTGCTCATATCTAGGTAACTATCTCGGTCGGTTCATATCTATATATCTGTCTACTTGTTTTTAATAAATTCCCCTTAAGCAAGGTCATAATGTCACTGAGACGCATGAGGCTACGGGGAGTGAAAGAGAATGGGAAGACTTTTGAAGGAACCGGAAACCCAATTTCTAACCAAGAAACAGGTGATAAACCTCTACTCTTGTTCAATAGGCCGGGTGGGCTGTTAGCCGGACGATAGGTGAAACTATCTACTCCTATTGTTATCTATCTATCTATCTATCTATCTATCTATCTATCTATCTATCTATCTATCTATCTATCTATCTATCTATCTCAGTCTGTTCTTTCTATCTGTCTATCTCAGTCGGTTTATATCGATCTAGTGTTTTTTTTTCATTCATTAACACAACATCTAGGAGCCTCTCTTTCCCCATTGTATGTTCTTTCCGGGTCTGCACAACTTCCTGCCTCGTATCTATCTATCTATCTATCTATCTATCTATCTATCTATCTATCTATTATTGATATGTTATAACCTAGGGAAGGTTACTGAATAGAATATATCAAACGAAAGTTGGTAATAAATGATGATACTTAGGACACGAACAGCACATATGATTCGCCAGCCGAGCGTAGAAGTAGTCAACTGCTAGAAGTGAGTCAAGGGAATTCCATAATGAATCTACAATTGCAGGATATCTACCAACCGTTCCACGCTGTTACATGTAGCACAAAGCCGAATTTAATGTGGGGTATCCGAGCACATTGGCTTGACCAAAAACTCCCCGTAGACCCCGTATAAAACAGGGTCGGGTAGCTGTTTCCCCGAGATGAGACTCTGCCCTCCGACATTGACTCGTCTGGAAATCATCTCTGCCCGGAGGCAGAGAGTTTGACCAGCACAGCCGGAGACGAATCTCTGACTGCAGACCAACATATAGTATATACTACTGTATTTATGTGAATGGGGATATGCACATTATCGTTCATATGTATGCTACATCACTATCTATCTATCTATCTATCTATCTATCTATCTATCTATCTATCCCAGTCGTCTCAGATGAACCTGTTTCCATATTTCATTATCTGTCTATAGAAATCTATTATTGTCTGTTCATCCATTAGGTTGGGTCACAAAGTAATTCAATTATATATTCACCATTATTTAGAGGGGGCTCTTCAATGCCCTTTGAGTAAATTTTCAGTACCTGATTTTCTCTTCTACACCCGGAAAGGATTTGGCATACAAATGAAGATGTGTTAACCCTAGAACATTACCCATGGGAAAATTTTCATATATTTATTTACAATTTTCAGCACCTGATTTTCTTACCTAAATAGTATGTTTTTCAATTCCTATTAATGTTAACTCAATGTACAACGTTTGAAGTGTCTGTATGTAAAATATTTCAAATAAAGATTTATATTTAATTCTTTTGTTGATATTTTCAAAATCGGGTATGATATACCCATGGTTAATAGTGGTGTAACTTTAATGGATGGTTAGTGTTCTAGCGTCAAGAAACCGCACAATCATCTACAACAGAGCCATTTTTTGTATCAGTTTCCAGTCTAATTGCAAGTAAATAGCTTTTTAATGCCAATTCATAAGCGAGATGCAGCTGTTTCTTTTATTAAATAGCGCAAGAGAGTGATTGACAACGGAAAATAGGGTTTTCAGTTTTGATTTCTATTGAGATGGATACAACTATTTTGTTAGACAACTAATATATACCGTTTCGAAATTGGTCATTTTTTTTATTTCCTGGCATACAAGACATTGTATAGTCATTAAGCAGTTTTTGTTTTCTTTCTTTTAAGTACATAAAGTGCAGTACCTCCATGATTATCCGGACATCTTGGGACAGAGGCTGAAAAAAAATATATTCAGATAATTAAAAATTCCAGATAATTGAATATCTAAATCATCAAAAAAGAATGAAAAAAGTCGGTTTTATTAAATAAATTTTATAGTTATGTAATCAAAATAAATTTTCAAACGCTTTGTTTAAAGTTTTGTTTAGTTTATATTTTTATGAAAAAAATGTGTCAAATTTTTGTTTTCTGTTTTCGCGTTTTTCTGTCAATTCCGTCCGAAGCTGGATAAAAGTTGATTTTTATGTAAGGGTCACTTCCGGTTGAAAACGCAACCAATTTAAACATAATCATTGCTTCAATTTTTGAAGAGGACATTTTGAACGTTGAATATGGTTTTCTAAATTCTCAAAACGCTTTCCTGAGATGAAATATTAGAATGACTTTAGAGAGGATAATTACACAGATACAAAGATGTTCACCCTGTACAAATCTCAAAGGCCACACAATGATAGATGATTTATAAAGTATAGGAAATATGTTGCAAGAGGCCATCGAAAGTGAGGTCAAAACAAAAGTATTTAGAAGGAACCGGAAACTCAATGCTAAACAGGCAACAATGGATAAAACTCTACTGCTGTTCAAAATAACAAGGAGGGACATAATGCCTCCAAGTCATAAGGTGCCATTGGAAGTGAAAGAGAAGGAAAATGCTTTAGGAGGAACCAGAAACCCAACTCTAAACAAGCAACAATGAATAAACCTCTACTGTTGTTCAAAATAACTTGGAGGAGATAATATCACCAAGTCGTAAGGAGCCATTGGAAAAGAAAGAGGAGGAGGAAGGCTTTAGGAGGAACCGAAAACCCAATCCTAAAAAGGCAACAATGGATAAAGCTCTACTGCCGTTCAAAAATACTGGAAGTCAATAATACCACCAAATCGTAAGGAGCTATTGGAAGTGAAAGAGAAGAAAAAAGGCTTTAGGAGAAACCAGAAACCCAATCCTAAACAGGTAACATTGGATAAACCTCTGCAGGTGTTTAAAATAACAAGGAGGGACATAATGCCTCCAAGTCGTAAGCGGCCATTGGAAGTGAAAGAGAAGGAAAATGTTTTAGGAGGAACCGGAAACCCAACTTTAATCAAGCAACAATGAATAAACCTCTGTTGTTCAAACTGGGAGGACATAATGCCGCCAAGTCGTAAGGAGCCATTGGTAATGAAAGAGAAGGTAAAAGACTTTAGAAGGAACCGCAAACCCAATCCAAAACAGGTAACAATGGATAAACCTCTACTGCTGTTGTTCAAAATATCTCGGAGGAGTATTTTGGATGATTTCATTTTTTCAGACAACAAAGGATAAACATGGAAGGAGATAACGCAATCAAGTCGTAAGCGGCCATTGGAAGTGAAAGATAAGGAAAAAGCTTTAAGAGGGACCGAAAACCCAATCCTAAACAGGCAGCAAGGGATAAACCTCTAATCCTCTTCAAAAGATATTGGAGGAGTGTGAACCAGACGATATGAGAACACATTTGCTCTTATTGAGGAAAGGAAAAAAAAAGTAAATAGTAAATACAATTTCAGAGCTTAGACTGAGATTATAGGTATATAGAGTTAACGTAGACTTTAGAAGGAATCGGAAAAACAGGAAACAAGGGATAAGCCTCTACTGTTAAAACGACGAGGCTGTTGGGTGCTTTCAATTTTTTATCTGCAATTCACATCCGGATAATGCGATGTCCGGAAAATCGAAGTAGAGATAATCGGGGCGATACTGTACTTGTCAATGAATACATCTTGGCTAATTGTTAAATATGAATAAAATAAGAGCGTCCATATACTTATGCAACGTCTCTGTGTACCATTTCTCAGCAAACTAGCACAACAGTCACTAGGTACATCTCTATATATAAATGTCAAGACTTTCTTTTTCTCTTTGCCATAGAAAACCAGAAAGATTTCGTGTCGAGCTCTCAAATTGGATACGCATATTTGCTGGAACCAGAGAAAAGGTTTTAATGTAAAAACAAATTCGTTCTTCGTAATGAATTCGGAGATCTGCATATTTTGGGTTATGTGGAAATATATCCCTTAGTAAGTGATAGGGTATGCATATATATATATATATATATATATATATATATATATATATATATATGTGTGTGTGTGTGTGTGTGTGTGTGTGTGTGTGTGTGTGTGTACGTATATATATTTATGTGTTTTAGATATATGTATATATATGTATGTGTATATTAACCAGTAATATTATATATATATATATATATATATATATATGTTTGTGTGTGTGTGTGTGTGTATATATATATTTATGTGTTTTAGATATATGTATATATATATATGTATATTAACTAGTAATATATATATATATATATATATATATATATATATATATATATATATATATATATGTGTATATTAATATAGTATATATATATATATATATATATATATATATATATATATATATATATATATAATTTCTGTTTTACATGATAAACAAGAAAAATGTAATTCTCACTAAACATTTTTCTCCTCAAAAAATATTTTTTCCATGCCCTTTCTTAATTGGAAAATTACCAGAAAGAAGTGAAATCTATTTTGTTTTTCTTTTATGCAACTATAAAGAAAAACAGAAGAACATTAAAACTTTAATGACGTTTTATTCATTGAAATTTGACTTCTTCCCATAAGTGATGTGCAGACATTTCTTTTATAATCGAGTAGTTCCAGGGTCAGATAACTATGCCTTCCACCACAGCTAGTAATTGCTTTTGTACGGAAATTAACATTTGTTGAAGGGGTATATTTAGTGACAGTTATTTAGTATAATATTAGTTCAGAGAATTATTGATGCATGGGAATTTCTTCACGCAAAAAATGGGTAATGAATATACAAACAATTACAGTCATTTAACAATATATTTTATTGCCTTAGCAAACTAAATAGAAGGAACACAAAAAGGATGAATGAAGGTGTGTGGGATTGATTGACTGTTTGGTTTTTACGGCTTTTTCAGGTTATTTAAAGCCGGAAAATATTTTTTAGATTGTAAGAATCTTTTGGAGATAATAATGATTTACTGACAAAAATCCTGCTATTTAACCCATAGCTGGGAAAAGAAGTGGATCCATACCTTTCCCAATAGTATTTGCACGTTAGTGAATATGAGGAAACCGACTAGATTGGAACTCCGCTCACCGACTTCTCATTCCCAGCCGTTATCTATTACACCACCTGCGCATCCAAGCTTACAGCACTGGTGTTGCCATGCGGTCACCCATCTATGTACTGACCAGTCTCGATGTTGATTAACTTCGGTGGTCGTATGAGAACCGGTGTTTCAACGTGATATGGTCGTAAGCCGTGTGTGTGTGTGTGTGTGTGTGTCCGTGGATATATCCTCTTGTCCTGTGTACGTGTATGCAAAATTCCTGTGAAAGATTGTCAGAGACTTTTGAGAAGATTTATTTGTTGGTTGGTAGAATTATTGGCAAAGTTTAACATTCGTCTTCGCAAAAAAAAACAAAAAAAAAAAAACAAATAGATTTTTTTCTTTTGACACCATTATTATTGTATGCTTCTTTAACAAATTCTATTGTTTTAAATAACCTTTTTTTGGTCTATATTTCGGAGATGATGCATTGTAATTATTTACTACACTATTTACATTATTCTGACTGATGTTCTCATTTTTATTGTCATATTCACAATGTTTCGGCCGTTGTACTCTCCGGCCTTCTTCGGGTGATATACGTTGAAATTTCGAATCGAACCCTTTATTTCGTCTACAGCGGTAATTTGTTCTAGTCCAACGTGCCATGTCTTTTCCCCGTCGCAGTTTCAGTCATTTCACTTTAGTAACTCAAGTCCCCAAGTTTTTGTGCACCTCTGCTATTAGTAACTGTAACTAAACACAAACGACAAGTAACTGTAACTGAAGACATAACAATAAAGAAACTGTAAATAAACACAAACGACAAGTAACTGTAACTAAACACATAACAATAAGTAACTGTAACTAAACACACACGACAAGTAACTGTAACTAAACACATAACGATAGGTAACTGTAACTAAACACAAAACGATAAGTAACTGTAACTAAACACATAATGATAGGTAACTGTAACTAAACACATAACAATAAGTAACTGTAATAATAAATTTTGAGTATTTCTGGATATTTCTTTTATCTGCTCTCGTCACTTGAATTCACTAAATCAGGTTTCGGGCATCTGGATTTATACGTTTTTTTTTTTCTTGAGAAGTGACAGCAAACATGTTTAACACTATTTATTTAATAGACAGTTTATTTACAAGAATAGTGTTTAATACTTTTGTTGTCAATTCTCGAGAAAAATGCAATGCTTAAATCTAGTTTCATATGTTTGGGTTTCATAAAAATTCTAAAGATTGGTTCCACTAATTCCAACCTTCACGGCAAGGACACGCCATGCGACTTACATAGTAGCAAACCACCCACACTCCCTCTGTATTCCATGAGGGAGAAGTAAGTTCCACTCTAACAGCTTCTTACCACGAATTGCTGGTATTTGGAACCAACTCCCGAGAGGATGTTTCCCGATCACGTCAATCTTAACCTGTTCAATGCTAGGCGTAACTGTTATCTTCCACTCCTATCCGCACAAATTGCCTCCTAACGTACCACTCTAACTTAAGTGTCAAACGCCTTGTAAAGGGTGGATTTTACTGTAAAAAAAAAAAGAAAGAAAAGAAGAAGCTTTTTAAAGGAATAAAAAATTTGTCGAGGGAGTACCGTATTTTTCCGGCTTGCAAGACGCACTTTTTTACCTAAAAAGAAATACCCTGAAAAATACGTGTGCATCTTTCAAGACGAATGTAAAGCAACCTCCAGGCTCAAGTAAGCTTGGACGGTCACCTAATTGACTGATAGGGACGTAAATTTGTATGTTGAGTCATTACACTATAATGTTAGCTATCTAATTCAGTCTTTTATATGATGTAACCTCAGTACTTAGTTGTTACAAGTATTTCCAAGACTATAACCCTTCCTGGAGCCGAGCCACAAGCTTAAACATGCCATGTTTACTAGCAGCGACGGGTGCCTTTCTGCTCTTGACTATTATGTCATTGCCATACAAACAAATTCGGACGAGTGATTAATGTAAACAATACGTGACCACAGTATATGAGGTACGCAAGGTGAATGTGTTGTATGAGATTGACTTTTTTTTCTTAGAATTTTTTTCCAATATTAGGTCTCGTCTTCCAAGCCGGAAAATACGGTATGTAGTAATAGCGGTGTCAAGGGAAAAACTGTCCCTTGAACACACCGTTTTTTTTTTTCTGTTTTTTTTATTTTATTTCGGATATGAATGCTAAACTTTACCAAATTATTAGATACGTCTGTGTATTTAAGTAAGGTTAGGTCATTTGAATACCGAATCGTATTCTATGGTGATTGTCTAAATGTAGCTTAGATGTGTACAAGGCCGGAAGTATGGGGTACCCAATGAGGATGGAACTCACTATTCAGTTCTGATTGATCATCTGAGACAAGATTGCTAACCATTACACCACGACGAAGTGGCCCTGCTTCGTATTTTATGTTCTGTTCAATGAGACACGAATCTTGTTGAGGACTAGAAAGTTTCCCACTGAGGAACGAAACATCTCCTGTTTCTAAGACTATCTGCAACTAAAAAGGAAAAAATAGAGAAACTTTTGCCTCCTTTTATTTATAGACTGTTCAGGCAACACTACCTAGTGATCGTTAGCAGACGATCTTTGACAGACAAGTGGGGGTAATCCTACGGTTTACGCATTTACTTTTAATGTTTAGAGTTGCTGAAAATTATCTTGAATTTAATTTGCATCAAAGTTTGTAAAATAGACATTTTTATTTGCACAGTTCATTTCTTTTATCTTGTGTGGAGAGAATTTGAAATATCAAGTTATGCTTTGCTTTTAACGTAATTGTGAGACTGTTTCCATACAGGGAATATACGACATTCACTGAATAGTCAGCATTACTTTAGGTTCAAATTTATAAACTCTATTTTATTTAGTTTTATTTTCAGGCAATTAGACTTCACATGCGCAATAACTGTTATTTCTCTTCCTAGTATTGATGGGAGTTTCCTGTTATTGCTTTTGCTTAAGGAAGCATAGAAACTTCACATCTTCATTATGTCGTTTCTAGTTAAAGATGCTACGCATCCATATTTATTGTTGTTGCTGTTGAAGGTCATGTCTTTTCTTCGCTTTTTGATAAAGTTCACTAAGATTATGTAGCGCCATTCTAGGCTCTAATAAAAAGGTTAGACATGAAAAATCCATTCGCCTGAAAACCTTTTTAATCACTGATTTGAGAAAACGGCTGTCTACAGATGAGAGTTTGTACATTTTTAATCAGTTTCTATAGATATTATGGGCAACCCGCGGCGGCGTAATAGTTAGCAAGCTTGTCTGTCTAGAACAATTACGACTGAGTAGTGAGTTCGATTCTCACTGAGCGCCCCATACTTTCGGCCTTGTGCCACATCTAAGCTACGCTTGGAAAATCACTATTGATATTATTGAATAATAAAAACAGCAGTTATCATCCTCAGTAATAATAAATCGTTTTATCTCTATATATAAAACAGAGGATGTATGTGTGTGTCTGTCTGTGTGATACCTTTTCACTTGAGATCCATCCAGCCGATTTTGACCAAACTTGGCATATACATTGTACAATGTAAGATATAGATTCTTAGCCTAAAAAATCGATAATTAAGAATCGATAAAGCCTATCAAGATTCGATGAATTCAACTTTTTTCCTCCGATTTCGTTCAAACTCAGTATGTTGGTTAATTACATCATGACGAGCTCATTGATACCTCATTTTTTTTTATTTCTAAGCCACTGCGATTAGCGAAAAACGAAAAATCGATTTCAACACAAATCAATTTCAACACAAATTTTAAACTAAAAAGTTTTTCAATTTTCAAGTAATCTAATATAAACTTCATTCAATTGTAGCCAACAATAAGTTGATTGTTTAACAGTCTTGTAACTTGATAATTGAGTCCACCCATACAGTGAAAACCCCGCGTAAATAGCGAAAAATGGCGATTTTCACTGCTTTCTTTCTTATTTTTTGTTGATCTTTCAACCAATTTTCATCAAACTTAACAATTGTTTTATAAATATATTCTCTTTTACATCTCTGGTAGCACATTGACACGTTGAATTTCAAAAACTTCAAAATAATTGTGGGCAGAAGTGGATCTTCATGTTGCTTGTTTTACCCCTTCATGTCCTTGGCTAATTTCGATTGAATAAATACAAACTACTTCTGTTATATCAGTAATTGCAGTAATTCAAAATGTTTTTTTTATGAAAGTACTTTAAAGTAATTGAAGAAAATAGACTCTGTTACATCTAAACATGATGCTGTTTTTGCTCCATTCTAATTGAACGCTTTTTTTCTGATTGACCAGCCAGGTATGGCTGCTAGTTATTAATATAACTAGCTACGATCCAAGAAACAGTTACCTCTTATAGATGCGCACTTCTTCTTCTTCTTCTTCTTCTTCTATATGACGTGTCCCTTCAGGACGCTGGTGATCATGATGATCTCAACAATTTTCTGTACTTGGAAGATCTTAATAAATGTATCTTTTTGCTAAACCATGTTCCGCCATCCATTTACTCAAACTCTCCAGCTCGGTCATGCTTTGTTTTCCTCTGTTCCTCTTCCTTTCAATCTGTCCTGTGAGTATCACATTTTCCAAACCCTCTTTCCTCATTAGGTGCCTTCCTGATGTTAAATATAAGGGTCCCTTTTATTTCCATTTTCTCTAAAATTTCGACTTTGCTCACCTGTTCGATCCATATTATCCTCAGCATCCTTCTGTAGAACTACATTTCTGTAGCTTCAAGTTTCTTCCCCGTCTATGAGGAGATTGTCCAGCGTTCACTGCTATATAGGAGGACTGATATTACGTAACAGTTCAGTTCTCTTTTCTTTTTTTGCTAACGATTTTTTGTGTCTTAATACTCTGCTTAGCTTTTGAAAGGCATCTTTGGCTATCCCAATGCGTCTTCGGATTCCAATGTCGAACTTTCTGTCTTCCCATATATTTAAATTATTGTGCGTGTTTGCTTTTGGTATTTCCAATTTGTAATTTTCATCTTGGGTTGTTCCTTTTGTTAACAAGTATGCAGTCCTTTCTTCTCGCTTTCCTTCACTACATTCTGTAGGTGTTCTTGTAGTTTTTTTTTTCTGTGTCTGCTATCAACACTTTGTCATCTGCATATCTTATGTTTGTTGCCTCCAATAATGACTCCGACTAGAACTTTTAGCTCTATCAGAATCGCCTCAATATATAGG